GAATCAAATACTAATATACCATGTTCGATTTTCATTTTCTATGAATGAAAACATGAAACTAAATTAAGATATAGTAGCACATTTTTTTAGAACTCCACAAACAAGAAAAATCAATGTACATACAAACACTGACGATTAAAGTCTATACACTTGAGTGGCATCCCTAAATCCTCTATACAATACTTTTGATTTCTGGTAACCTGTTCAGATGAAAGGTAAAATCACCCAAATCACATATTGGACCCCTAATTCCAATGAAAGAAAGTAAATCAATATCACTAAAAAGTGCCCCCTGTTAGCATTACCGTGTAAAAACCCTAATTCTGCTCTCTTAGAACATTAACTAACAGTTCCCTCCGATACAAAAAGGTTTTCGCATGAAACGCCTTGATTCCCCCTCCATCCAAGAACAATAAACTGCGCCTCCCATACAACGTCCAAGGCAAATAGTCATGTTTCTGATGGTTATTATTATATATGCACCGAAAATTTTATTGTCACTTAATGTAGTCAGTCAGACACTTCCTGCAAATGTAGAACCCCCGGGGTAGTTATCAAGAGTGTCCTCCAGAGAATCTCCCGAGTAGGATCCATCTGGGCCACGAATACAAACATTCAGGTTGCGGGAAGGTAAAGGCTCCTGAGTGACCCAAAAAAATGTCCATTAGTATATCTCAGTAAATGTATGGGAAACCTAAAAAAGGAAGCCTAGTGAATGAAGGCATCCGGGCAAGGCAAGGGTCCGGGGAAGGGCCACACCACAAGAGTGTACAAGAGTGTATAAGGAGCAAACCTTCCCCTGTCAAATTTTGACAAGAGGCCGCTCCCAAAAGTCGCTCCCAAGACTTGAACTGTGACTAGATCATGTTTTTTTAAATATAATTTTGTATCCTCACTTTATTTCCAATCATCCAAAAGCATAAATGATTTAAAAAATAAATATCACCCCTCCTCTTCAATTCCCTATGAAACAAGCCCTAGGTCATAAATTCTACAAGGTCACCCATAATTTTGTCACCTCAACTGATTTCTCCGGGCCTTCTGAACGGAAGAGAATTGGGCGACACCTTTTGTCTTCATTCATTAAGCTTGAGTTCTGGAAGTGAGCAACTAAAGCCGTTCTTCCTTGTATTCTTGCATAAGCCAAAGACGCAACCTTTTCACTGTTAAACTTCTCCCACCTTTTCCCATTGAATACCTGCATAAATGTGTGTCACAACTTATAAAAATATCTCACTCCAAAGGAGATGTCTAAACAGAGCACATATATTCATGAAAAAAACACGGAGGGAAAAGAAAGAACCTCATAGAAAGAGATAATATGTGATGGAGACACCATATTGATGAAGGCATAGCCAACATTGCATTTATTCTGAAATCAAAAGTAAAATGTGATATAAAATGAAACAATGACTAGGGATCATTTTATAAGTCAAAAATTAGCTGAATCGGCTGAAAGTCTGAAAGTAATGAAGTTACAATTGATCTAACTAAATGGGCTGAATTATGAAAAGTTACTTTAAAACATACTCCCTCCGTCCCTAAAAGGATTGCCAAGTTTGACTGGCACGTAGAATAATAAAGTAAAAACTGTGTGGTAGAGAATTGTGCAGAGGAGAGAGAAATAACAGGAACCACAAATTGATTGATTAAAAGGGAAAGTGGCAAAGTTTTTGGGACAACTAAAAAAGGAAAGTTGGCAAAGTTATAAGGGACGGAGGGAGTATTTTGTTACTTAAGTTAAAAGGGTTCAATACGTATATAAACTGTATAAATAGGAGAGAACAAATTTGTAGCTTCTACTTTTCTTTTTTAAGTGCATAACATTTCCATAATTAATACGGAGTATGCAATAACATTGATTGTATAACATCTTATCTGCTTGCCATTCTTTCATTACATTATTAGGGAAACACATGACATAAACATAACCACAACTATTTAAAAAATATGAGAAAGAAAAAACAAAAATAGTCATCTTCAACATATTCAGTCAAAAAATTACCTCCAACCTTGCTCTTTTTTATTATTAACCAATTCAACGTGTGAAATAAAATAACTGGTGCTTTGTAAAAAGATATGGCTAATAATGCTGACAGTCCAAAAGGTTACCAAACGAGGACCAAGTTACATTTGAGGTTAAAATGAGCTCTAAATAGTCATCATCACCATCATTACCCCAGTGCCGCAAAGGCTCCCACCTATGGTGGGGTAAAGGGGGTCGGATGTACGCAACCTCACCTTTGTACTAAAGCACAAAGAGACTATTTCCGGATGACTCATGGTGGAAAATTGCATGGACCGACTGCTGCTTCATAACAAAGAAGCAGCAGACAGTTTAGCGAGTCATTTTTCTTTATTCCCAAGCCAACTTGACATCATATTCCCAAGCCAAAAATAGCTAGCCTTTGGCTCCATTAGAAATGATGGAAAAAATGAGCTCTAAACGGTAAATGCAAGAAACACTACAATTACCTTGAAATCAATTGGCAAATATAGGAAATCGTATGTATTTCTATGAGTCTCATCAATAGCTGTAAGTAACATCTTTGAAGTGTACCTACATAGTAAATGAAACGCTAAAGTCTGTACATCTTGGCACTTCCACAAAAAACAAACGATGTCAAGTTGTCAACTGAATAAAGAATTAAAAAGACTGTTCTTACTTGTTGGGGATGTTCTTTACCATCAAAGTTGTCCTCATATCTTCCCCAGTCACAATTTTCTCCAAGTCAAGCTGGTACTGCTTGTTTATTTCTGTCTGAATGCCACTCTCAACTCTTCTACTTCGACTGCGATCAGGAATTAACTCACTATTATTCATTTCTTCTCTTCCATAAGAGCCATTTCCAAAGAACATAGGACCATTTCTTGATAGTAATGGAATCATCATTCTATGAAAAGGAGAACCACTTTCAGTAATAGTCCTACCAAGAGAACCACTTTGAATAAAAGTCCCACCAAGAGAGCCTCCATTATTGTAACTAGTGCTGGCACTTCCGAAGCTAGATCGGCTTAGGCATGTTGTTTCAGGTGATTCAGGGAAAAGCTCAAAATGCCTTTCCAATGGAATTCCCGAAGGAGCGGACCCTACATGATGGTGAGAGCCAAGGAATGAGCCATGTTGATGGGAATATGGATAGCCTTGTCCTTGATGGGAATATGTACAGCCTTGTCCTTGATGGGAATATGTACAGCCTTGTCCTTGATGGGAAAATTTACAGCCTTGTCCTTGAGCATGGGAAGTACATAGACAACCCATTGATGGTTTTGACCATATAGAAGAAGAATCATTTTGCTCTGAGTGAACAGGACTTCCCCAAAGAAACTGAGGACCAGAAAGTGTCGAAATTACAGATGGCTTTGAGTCATCAAATGAGACAGGCACAGAACTTGAACCGAGTTTCTGTTCAGGTAATGAAAAAGGGCTTATAGTATTTATGTTAAAGTGGTCTAACTCACTCTATAGTCTTACTTCACACTTAAACACTCCCTCCGTCCCAATTTGATTTTCACGTTGCGTTTTACGATGCTTGACCGAAGATAAAGCAAACAGATCTTTGTCCGCACACAAATTATTTGTAGGAAAAAAAATTACATATTCAGAAACCACACTAAAAGCTTTACAAAGTCACAAAAACCAGAATCAAATTTGATAAAAATTTGATATATAAAGTAAAAGATTAAGAGTGATTTGTGTTGACCAAGTGAATAGGAACTGGGAACATCAAATTGGGACGGAGGTAGTATTACATATAGATAATGTGAGGAACTTAACACATCCTTTGGACCAAATAGTACTAGAAAACTAGAGAGCCAAACAAAGAACCCTTAATCAGACTGGACTCTATGTTAAACTGGGCATAACACAGCCCAAAAAGATCCTTAATATTCGGGCAAAATATTTCCTGAAAGGGCTCTCAAAAAGTGAGGTTACCTCACACTTAAATATTAGATATAGATTAGTTAACACCAGATGTTGGATACTTAAAATTTATTACTCCCTCCGTCCCAATTTGATTTGCAAAAGGTGGGTACAAGAATTAAGGAAGATAACAAATTAAGTTTGGCATTACTATTTTCCCCTTTCTCCCGTAAAGTAGAGAGGCATTTAAGTAAATGGAAAAGGGGTAAAAGTAAGGGTAACTCTGTCAGTTTATTCATCTATCTATACCTAAAATAGAAAAAGGAAAATCATTTTGAGACAACCAAAATAGGATATTTTGCAAATCAAATTGGGATGGAGGGAGTATTAATCACTAACTTTGTCCTTATGACTAACCTTTCCGTGATCTTTACCGATAGGTGCAATCTTCATGGGGTTTGAAGTACTGGAGGAAAATACAGAGGTCAAGCCGGATATACTGTTATTTATAGGCCTGATATTTGTTAAACAAGCAGATGTGCTATACTTGTGAAATTGATTGGGTTCGACTGGACTGCCAAAATTGGGCCAGCTACCTGTTAAATAATGCCCACCAGTTCAGATCATATATCACGATAGCCACAAAGATGAAAAAACAATCATGTCACAAGTCAACACTAAATGCACCTGGAGGAGAGTTAGCTATGGGTGATCCAACTGGATTCCTAAATGATCGTAAATCATCATGCTCCAGATTTTGAGTCCCTTGTTGCATCAAGCTAAAAAAGAAATGAAGGGTTAAGGGTGCAGCATGGGGGGATATAATCATTTATATATTCTGGCATTACAACAAACTTGTATATAGGTAAATATATCCATTAAAATGCAATATAGTCAATCCTGAACAAAGAAAATAACCTCTACATAGTAGAAGCGGTACCAAGTCTTCAATATGACTACTTATGTAACGATACAACGGCAACCATGAAGGGCTGAAAGGCTGAAAGAGCAAAAGATAGAAATACATACTTTTTGCGGGCTCCACCAGGCCGGCTAGGCTCAAGTTTTATACGCTTTCCAGCAATGTCACTTTTGTTTAAAGCCTTAAGAGCAGCTTCAGCAGCTCTAACGTCATAAAATTCAATGAACTTATGATGTTGTTTATGTAGTGTTTCCCGGATCTGCATTTTTTGAATAGTCCACAATTAATGAGCTTATGATTAAATATGGACCGTTGTTAAGGACGCAAATATATGACCAGAATGACTTTTGTTGGAGTGCAGATAAACAGAAAAGGAGTATAAAATTGCAACCTCCTTGACTTCCCCATAAGCCCCAAATATCTGTTGTAGGTGATCATTGGACACTGAAGGATCTAAATTGAACACCACAAGAGTTCCTTGGTTAACGTCTTTATCTGATGGATTTTCCTGCATGCAGCAAAATGAGATGATATTTTACAGGTGGTACGTTTTATGTCAAAGGAACAATCAGTTAAAATAGCACGAAATCTAGGTTCGCACCTTTGGGATTGAAAAATGAATATCAAGTTTTCTTTTTCCTAAAGGCTTATTTTGCAGGGCATGCAGTGCAATTCGAGCTGCTCGGATATCATAGTAAGATATCATCACAAATCCCCTGTGCTTACATGCTGTATATAGTGCTCTGATATCCCCAAATTGCTTCAATTAAAAAAATTCAAATCACTAAAAAATACAAAAAGCAACATAATAAATTAATCAAGGATAAAAAATGTTGTTAAATTCATGATCAGGTAGGGCTGTAGGGGTAACTCAACTAGGCCATAAGGCACATGAGCCAAACCACAACCTAAGGTTTTATTAACCCGTCACTTTTTAAAATTTCTGATGTGGTGGGGCTCTAACAATGGTGAATCTCTTATTGTGATTCATCTTAACATATGCATCATATTTCATAAGTTTCTCTCAGAGACTTAACTTCTTCTTCATTAGAAATTTCTGTTCATTCTTAGAGATACATTACCATCCACAATACTAATCTTGTATGCCATCTCTATTTTAACTAACTTGCCGCGATCAAGTGTCTTTCAAATGATGATAATAAAAGCAAGAAAGTCTGTTTCAAAGCCTCTTCAGCTTCTCCCCATATTTTCATGTCAGTTGCGTGTTGTTCAGGCCAATGGAATTTAAAAGGCCAATCCTGAAGACCCTTAAGAAATTAATTAGGATCACTCCATATAGTCATATGAGACAACACAACAACCAATCTCTCACATATCATTATATTGAACAGATCTGTACAACAACCAAGAATAATGGGAGAAAAGTTGAGATCACCGATCTCATCTTTTAGACACTTAGTTCACAACCACATCGAAAGATTGAATCCAAATGATTAACTATCTCAATCCAAGGGTCTTATAACCCACTTTTCATTCTTTAATTTTCCAATGTGGGATTCTAACAAAAGAAAACTAAATGTAGCAAAATTCACGCAAAAGAAAGTATAATGTTGTGCAAAAGTAAATTTACCTCAAATAGACATTTCAATTCAGAGTCCTCTACACTACTGTTAATATTACGAACAAATAAAGTCCTCGAAGGGTGCTCTCCGTAGGGGTGTTCTCCAGAACCATTGGAAAGGCCATAAGCTCCAATGCTGCTTCCAGGAATACCATCAGGAAGACTTAACTTTGCAAAACCGTTAAGTAGGTTAATATCATGGCGATCTAGTTCAATCTCTAGCCCCCCTCCACTGCCAAAGAGATCATCTTCTAAGTCCTCCAGGTTAGAAGGCAGTTCCCTATGTTCGAAATCATATGTTATGCCGGCTAATAACTCATCTTCATCCCCAGGAAGAAAGTTCCCAGGCATCCTTGTATCATCGTCATCGAACGGACTACTACTCCCCCCTTCTACATGATATCCGCTTAGTCTATGTGTGCTATCATTGATCAATTGGCCTCTAGTCTCAGAGTCATTGGGGATTACTGCATAACAGAAGAAAAAACATTATAAGTTATATATACAAGAAGAAGGAAGTTATAAAATGAGTACCGAAAAGGATGGTTATGCTGACATTTTTCATGTGGAAGGATTGGCATTGAACATGAGAACAAGGTAACGTCAGTTAAGGCATGATCAGCAGTGGTTGCATTGGGAATAGCCCATGAATTTCTTAATCTGTTAGACATGTTTGCTGATAGAACTTCAACCAGGCTGAAAATTATTAACCAGGAATTAACAAACTTAAAGGTACAAAATTCTATATGGTCAATAGATGCCAAGTTAAGACACTATTGTTAAAAGATTCTTTTTTAAAATGGAATACAGTGTGTAAAATATATTCTCTTTTATATGCACACACAGACTGATGTATGTAAGAGAGACATATGAGAGCATTCAGCTTGAGAAAAGACCAAATCTAAATGTGCCAATTGAAAGAATACAACAACAACATTACCCCAATGCCAATTGAAAGAATACATCTAAGTATAGTCATTTAAGTATTTAAGTCATTGAGATCAGAATCAAGATTTTGACTGAACCAAGACAAACAGCCCAAAACCAGCAGCAAAAAAAAAGATAACAGAAGAGTTCTACAATTCACCATCTAAAAAATAATTTCCCCGATGATATTTGTTAATTTACTATTGAGAATTGGAAGTTGTAAAAAATTGAAAATTGAAAGAAACAAAATACTGTGGATCACTATTTACTTCATTATTATTTATCAATTACTCAGAGAAGATTGCTTTCCTTTATCCTAAATCATATTCAAAAGCAAAAAAAAAACTTTCCTCAAAATCTCATTATAGGAAATTAGAAGAGAAAACCTGGCACATAGAGAAACCTTCAGAACCTAACATGCATATCAAGACACCAACTTTATCCATTAACCGTTTCCTTAAAATCTGAAAAAGTAGTTTTTGAAAAAATATATTGAAAAAAAAAACAAATGCTTTGTGCTCGATAAATGCATATTGGAGGACAATTCAAAGAAAACACAAAATTGTTCCAGTAATTCGACGTATAACATGGGCCAAAATATCATCCTAAAATACACAGAAAAGAAAAGGGCTGAGATTCATCAAACATGAAGCCAAAGAAAAACAAAACCCGATACACTCATACACACATTTTCTTTTTGCCATCATTTACTCGGAGTAAAGATTACAAATTTACAACTTATTGAAGCACAGTTTTATCACACACTTAAAATCTCCTGAAATCAAGCACCCGCTTGGAGGCAGAGACAAAGCCGAGACTCGATTGTCGAAGTAGCAAGAATAACATCAAATAGTGAATGCAAATAAACAGAAGAAGCGAAACAGTTACGTGAAAGCAGAGGAGATGTTTCCTTCTACTCTTTTACTTCTTCCTTCTCTCCCACCACCACGAAACTAGCAAACCAGAAACAGTGCACGTAGACGATAGTCAGGGTAGGAGTAGGCGAGAGATAATTGGAATTGAAGTATCGGTAACTTTGTATTAATGGTTCTTTACTTGTTTATGAATTGTGAATTACATACGGAGTATAATGATACTCACAGAATCAGAAATTAAACAGAAGAGATGAAATTTTACAAATAAACGCACCCACAATAGTTATGCAGTTGGTTGACAATAACAATATTGCAACGATGGACCGACAGAGCCGATCATGATAGATAACCAGCACAATTAAAACTTCAGTGGGCTCATTTTGTAGTGTTATCCGAATGTACACCTCTTTTGAGCATTGTATTTACTTCTTCTGGTGAGGGAGAATATAGTAAAGTAAAAATGGATTGTAAAATGTGAGAGAATTAATACAAATCACAAATTCTTAAATTAAAAAAGAAAGTAGCAAATTTAGTTGGACAATCAAAAATTAAAAGTTAGAAAAAGTTTAAAAGACAGTGGGAGTATAACATAAAGACTAACATACATGTTTGTGTTTTTTTTGTACTTTGGATAACATAATGTACTTCTAACATACATTTGAGTCTAAAAAGTTAAAATATGAATTCCGTCCATATGAAAACATTGTTTAAACTCTATCAATAATGTTTTTCTCTGCATTCCAGTATCGTTAGTGAAATACATTTGACATATTTTTTACATATCAAATTAGTATAACATTAATGAAATTACTATAAGTAATATTTCCCTTTTAATTTTTTCCGAGAATAATTATGAAATAAAAAATACACATTTCGATGTAAAAAATATAAATTTCATTAACTTTTAGCGTTTTTCGATCAACAAAAAATTAACTTACTTCAAATAAAGTTCGGTTATTATCAGATTCTCTTCTATACATTCAATGAAATCATCGGTGAACATTTTATGAGAATTATCATTAAAATCGCATTCCATTTGAGCATTCTCCTTATTTTTTTTAATGTTTTTCAGCTTTTATAAAAAATGAAATGGGATGATGTAATATTAAGTTATTTATTATGCAGGCTCTATCAATTAAAAAATTGTGTATAATGTTTTTTTGTGCTCAAGAAAATTCCAACATTTAAAACTTGAGATTCTTTTTTCACTTTGTATAGAGTTTTTGTCACTTTTTGTCTTCAACTATTATGTTACAGACACTTTTGTAACTCGACTTTGAGTTTTTTCACTTTTTGTCATTCGACTATTGTGCGATTAACACTTTTGGTACATGTTTTATAAAATTTCCACATTTAGTCTTTCGACTTTCATAAAAGTGACACTTTTGGTTCTTCAACTATTACTACCTTCGTCCCGAAAAAATTCGCCATATTGACTTATCTTGGTCAATAATGGCAAACTTTGGACAATGATTTTAATTATTATATTTGTATATAATTTAAAATTTTATACTTTTATGAAAATATATTGAATAAGGAACATTTTGACATAATTTTAATATTGAAAATAAATTCGTATTAAAAAACATCATTAGTCAAATTTGATTGTCATTGACCAAGAAAAGTTAATTCGGCGAACCTTTTCGGGGCGGAGTGAGTATAATAGTGACATTTTTATTCATCCACCTGTTGTGTCATACTCCCTCCGTCCCATATTGTACTTTGCCAACTTTTCTTTTTTGGTTGTTCCAAAAAATTTTGCCACTTTCTTATTAAAGCAAGTTTTGCAAGTTTCTTTCTCCTCTGCATGGTTTTTACTATTCTCATTTCTCAACTATTTTGCAATTGGCAAAGTCCACCGGAATAGAGGTAGTAGTCATAGTGGAAGGATTAAAAGTGTCAATTTTATAATACTCATGGGACTGAATGTGGAAGACATTGAAGTCGAAGACTAAAAATGTCTCCCGCACAATAGCCAAAGACTAAAAATTGAAAGCTCCTATATATATGTAATATTGGTGTCATATGAAAGTTTATAAAAATCGTTAATTTTGATATAGTTTTTGAAAATTTAGGAGACCAAATAAAAAAGTTAAAACACTTTTACAAGAAATGGTGATTTTTTTTGTTTGAGGGTCCACACTTTTGCTACCATCATCCACACTTTGCTCCAGCTACATCTAGACTCTATCCCTTGATCTTTCTATTATTTATAACCTCTTTCCAATCACCAATGTATAGATTGATTTAGGGGTCTAAAAATCCATTTTATACATTTTAGACTCTTAAAACTCCTCCACTACGGATAGTCTTATAGTATCTATTCAATGTTACATGTCAACATTTTTGATTGAGGTGAATTTCGAACAAGTGACATCTTCCTTGAGTGTGTCATAGTAATGTCACCAAACCACAATTAAACCATTTAATTTAATTGGACATCCTCTATTTTGTTATTCTTCTCTGGTTTTAAGCCAATTATGTAGTTATTATCTTTAACAATTAAAAGACCTAATTAATCTAAACGACATTAAAAATAAGTTAAACGACATTATATTAAACGACATTAAGAACTTGTTTAGTACGGAGTAACACTGAAATAAGTTAAATTGGGTTAATCTGTTGAAATTGATAAATGCTAATTGAAGTGATTGAAGTTGCCGAATCTGCTTAATTATGAAATAATTATATTTCAAATGTATTTATTAATAAAATAAATACAAAATTACATGAAAATTTAGCCAAAAAGATCATATACAATAACTTAGTGAAAATCTGCTTAATATTGTTTCCACCAAATTTTTTTGATTTGGTGGAAACATTAGTTGAAAAGACTGCTAATTAAGTTGGAAGTAGGATTTACCAAACAGGCTCTTATATACTCATTAGGTCTTTTACGTTGTTTTACGTAGGGGTGCTAACCGAGTGAGTCGAGCTCGGGTTCGGCTTAAATCAAGTCGGGCTTCATAAAGAAAAGATCGAGATCGAGTTCGAGTCGAGTTTCAGTTGAGTCGAAAAATTAATTGCTTGGTTTGAGTTGAATTTGAATTCAAGTCGATTTCGAGTGGTATTCGAATTTTTACAATTTTGAAAAATAATACTATCGTACTTGTATATTTTTGAACAAAAAAGTTTAATTTGTTATACGTTTAAACACGCATGGGCATTGGTTGAAAGACTCCATTCTCAAGATGATGGCTGATAATTGGCTTGTCTCTAGGCTTGAATTACAGAATTCCATTCTTATTTTGCATGATTCTAATTTTTTAGGCTTTTTTTTTTGGATCATCAAGAAAGGTTTTGGGTCCTTATTTGTACCTGAAGGTTGGAATGAAAGGGGTATTAAGCATTTTCTGTCAATAATTAATAGAGCAATTAATTTGATGAGGGATTCTGCAGCCGAGCAGCCTCTAGCATCTAAGCTGATCTCTTCTCGGGTTGATTCTAGTTTTATGGGCTCTTGGCTTGAAAGTGATTTTCCTTGGTTAGACGAGAGATACTCTAACCAGAATGATTTATCCATTTCGAGAATATTGCTTCAAGTTGACATAGACCATTCTACCTCTTCTGATACACGTGAGGTGTTGAACTCTGTCCAAGATCTTAGTAGCTCTACGCATTTACCAGATTTAGCAATCATTAATGATTTTTTTCAGACAGCTATGACTAACGGGGTTGATTCACTCTCTCGTTACCTTATTAAGGAATTTGAAAGAATTGTAGCCACTTGTATGGAAAATAGGGACTCTTTGGACAACATATTGGCTGATAACGCTAATCCAAGTCAAATCTTTTCGAGAGAGGCTATTAGAGATTATATATGCTCTAAAGGGATTGATTATGGGGAGGTATTTGTTGAAAAGGAGCTGTCATTTTCGGGTGATGAATATCTTGGCCATGCTTTAGAGAGCGAGAAGAGAACTCCAATTTCATCCATTGAGGATCTATGGGACTGACATAAATCAAAACATCTGTAATAGGGCTAAATTGATTACGAACGAGAATTGCTTGCCTACGCAGAATCTCAATACTCAAATGAAAATATATAGAAAAAGGCATCAACGTTCGCATCACATGAGAACGAGATCGCAATCACATCTGGAGTTTTAATTTTAGGAACTCATTTCTCTCAAAAAAAAAACATGCATGGGCAATCATCAATAATTTATTAAACATAAGAACATTGTTTTAAAATTTTCCGCCTAGTTGTCTCTTTGATATAAAGATTCTATTTGTCGTCGATTGATTTAAACTTAAGATGAACTAAGTTCAATTAGTTCAGTTCTACTTAATGTTGTTTGAGAGTTGTCTCACAGTGCCTATAATCCGTAGAACTTTGTCTAAAAAAATAAAACATTATGCAATATGTGAATCACTAGTACTCGTATATTTTAGTAGACCATAAGTACAATTTGTATGGATGGATCCATAATATGAATATATGATGTAATGATGTGATGTCATATTATATGTATGAATCTAAAATAATTAACACCAACTTATAATCGAGTAGCTTGCGAGCTTTTCTAGCTAGTCAAGTGTGTGTGTAGCTTGGGACACAAGCACTAGGGACAGTGCTTTGATTAGCTTGGGGGAGAGTTTTATGGAATACCCACACATTAAGCTTGTTAAGTTGAAAACCCGAAAGGGCAACTTAAGCAAAATTAAAGCAAAAATACGAGTGAGTTGTGAGGATTAAAACAGAAAAATGTGGGAAGCTGGGATGAAAACCCGAAAGGGCACCTAGGCAAAATGAGAGAACGAGAGAAAATATTTTCTTTTATTTCTGCAGGATCCTAAGGGTAACGCAAAAAAAAGGGTTGAGGTTGATAAAAAAATATAGAGTTGAAGACCCTCTTTACTATTATATTTTTGGGGATTTACTTTATGTGTTTCTAAAAACACTCGTGGATGTGTGTGTTGATATTCTTATCATTTTAAGGACTTCTTGGACCGGATTTGATTTACTCGAGACGAGTAAAGGTTTAAGTGTGGGGGTGTTTGATGCACACTAATTAGTAGTGCATAATTACATGTTTTTATGTTTGATTTATGTTAATTGTTTGACGTTTTATTTAGTTTGTAAACATTTATGTGATTTCAGTTGTAATTGTATTTTAGTCTTTATTTATAAGTTGTAAAGTATAGTTAGGATTTGTGGTGTTGGAAAGGAAGACTTTGAAGAGAAGAAAACAAGAAATTTGACTGCCCAGGAGTAAAACCCGACCAGGTAGAAACCCCCACCCGGTCGGGTATGATTTAACAGACGAAATTGCCAAGAAAGTCACTGGACTCAGTCGGGTCCCCTACTTGACCCGGTCGGGTCAGATGTGACCCGGGACAAAACGACGTGCGAAGATCACCAGAACGTGGCGGATTATCTGATTTTTACCGGACCCGGTCGGGTAAGTACTATACCCGGTCGGGTACCCGGCCCAAGGTGTTGAAAAACACCTATAAATAGCACACTTTTTCTTCTCTAAAAATCATCCCTTCTTCCATACTCTTAAGCTCAGTTTAGAATAGCATTTCTTATATTTTTCTAGCTATGTTTAGTCTCCAAATGAGGAGCTAAACTTCCATTCTTGATGTTGCTCTTGAAGCTTGTTGATTATTAAAGTTGTGAGTTATTTTCTTAACTTCTTTCCTTGAATATTAATTAATAGTTCTTTCCTTAATACCATCTCTATATTAATGTTGGGGAGTGTTGCTAAGATGACAATTAGTTAACATCTCGACATTAGATAGAATGGTATTTTCTTCCTCTATATTAATGTTGGGGAGTGTTGCTAAGATGACAATTAGTTAACATCTTGATATTAATTATAGTAGGATTCATCTTCTTTAATAATATTCTTCCTTGAATATTAATTAATCCCTACTCATATTTCATATTAATATTTTGAACATTACTTGAAGGATCAACTAGTTTTGTTTCATATATTAATTATTACTAGAAACGATCAACGAACCGATGGTTAATCGTTGATGGTTTCACAAGTAAGTAACTTCGGTTTATTAATGCACGGTTGTGGTTAATAAACTTAAGAGGGATTAATTTTGTTGGTTAAACCAAAACCGTTGTGTTGAAGTTATCAATCTGAATTGATTTCATCAAGGAGTTGGAAAGATTAAATGCTACTATTAAATCGGTATAAGGCGTTGTTCTATATTTGATTAATAGTAAGAGTTATTAATGAATGGTTGTTGTTAATAACTACCCTCGATGAAGTGGATATACTCCCCGATTGAGTATTCGAGAGGGAATAAATTATAGATATAACAATGATCGACTAAAATATATCAACAAGTGGAAAGAAGCAATGACAAGTCCTTTTTATCTTTGAATTAAACACATATAGGTTGTTCATCTTAGTTATTAATTAAATTAAATCACTCAATCCAAATCCCCCCTTTATTTACTAAGTTTCATAAAAAGAGAATTATTCCTTTCCCTGTGGATACGAACTCTACTACGCTATACTACGTATAAGTGTTTAGTATTGAAATTATTTTGACGCACCGTGAAAAAGTGCTCGTCACCTACACTATTAGTTTCTTTGATACTACGTATGTTATAATCATGTTTATTTGGATTTCAAATTTGTTTCTCTTACTTATAGTTTTTTTATAACAAAAACTATTATAAGTATTCACACGCCATCCCTAAGACCTGCTCTACGTGTGCTATCCCGGGTTCATAAAATGTCAGGATCGAGCCAGTGTGTAATAGAAAAAGTTAAAGGTAGTTTAAAGCACCACTATACATGCTTTCAGCTTTTGAGTTTTAGATGTTTAATTTAAGTAGACCATATCACTTGAAAACACTTATTTCAACTTTTTTCAACCAAAAGTTTAAAAACGTGTTTTTTTTTTTATTTTTTGCAAACAATTATAAGTATCTTAGTGAAAGGAAGGCATGCAATTACAAGTTACAACACTACACACATCACATCACATACTATGTTAATATATTATGTATAGTGAAGGCTCTGGTGAGAATTGCACCAGAGTTGCAGTCTCAAGATAAAGCTCCAAGCACCCTAGGTTTTCAATTACAAACATAAACTCCTTTTAAATTAGTTATTACTCCTATGAAGATCAAAGTTTTCACTAAGCAAAAATACCACAGAACGAATGGTAAATCATTAAATTAACAATAACGATGTCAACATATGAATTGAAGTTCCATGAGGTAAGTAAAACATATATAGGGAGTACATATCAATATATAGGAAGTATACACTGGGCTATGTATATATATAGTAATAGTAGTAAAACGTACGGAGTATATTTTTGTGTTAATTGTGAGAAGTGAACCAAGTCTTCAGTTTTGCAGCAAAAGGAAATGATCTTAATTAACTAACTGCAATAATATATTAAGCTTTGATCAATATGAGAATTAACGATCATCCACGCGCCAGGCTTATGATCATAAGAAATGCTAACATCAAGGAATAACACATCTGGAAGCAGCTAATTCGTGCAGCAGCAGTTGAGGAATATGATGCGGGGTGAGATCCCATAGGTGAAGAAACTCCACCAAAAGATCCACTTAACGAAGTGTTAAACCCTGATGCACTTGTGCTGCATTTTTAAGAACATCAATCTATACTTAAAACACTTTTAAATACCTAGTACTTCATAATAAACAACACAAACAAAAACATATGTACAGACACAATTGGCAATTAGAGAAAGAAGAGTGTATATATAGCCTGTAAAATCGTACTACGTCTGCACATATTGTTGCGTTTTGAAACTTTAACTCTTAAATGAAAAAAATCAGTATCATAACTATACATAAATGTTTCAAACGACAACACTATTCGAATTTTCTTATAAAAAAATCCTATATGGGGGCCGGTATTCCACTACGGATCGGAGGACTGTACGCGTTATATTCTGGCTGCCACGTGGATTTATTGGCTGAAAAGTTTGACCAATGGTATTGCCGGTTGAAACATTTATCTGTAGTTATGGTATTGGTTTCTTTCAAATACTTATTTAAAGTTAAGATATCAAAGTACAACAGTACAAATAATTAAGATACTAGCTATTTATGCATTTTACCCGTATACTACATTACTACCTCTGTCCCTTAAAACTTTGTCAAAGTTGACCGGCACAAATAATAATAAAGTAAAAACTGTGTGGTTGAGATTTGTGCAGAGGAGAGAGAAATAACAGAAACCACAAAATAATTGATTAAAATGGAAAGTGATAAAGTTTTTTGGGACGTTCCAAAAAAGAAAGATGACAAAGTTTTATGGGGCGGATGGAGTAGTATATATAAAAACCATGCAATTAAGCAAAGCTAGTCTATTTGATCTCTCACCTTGTTGGTAGATAATGACATGATGATAAAGTAGAAGCATTAGTAGCATTATCTGCAGACAGTAACATGTAGAGCAGATCAGAATAAATATAAAAGGCCGGTCAATTTATATTTTATTGAGAACTGGGGTTACGTTTTGGATAATAGATATATAGCCAGGCAGCTAGCTTATTTAATTTGTTTACTATGAACATGGATGGATTTATGAGGGGCGGTCGCCCCCTTGGACTTTTAAGATTTTCTATTATGTACGTAATATTTTCATAAAATATTCATAGTTTAATTAGATACATCATACATGTTTGTGTCTTCACCCTCATTAACTTTTCATTTTCAAAATAAATATATTTGTCCTTAATAGGAGATTTAAAAGATGAAACGTCTAAAATAATTTATCAATATTTAAATAAATAAGCAATAGAACAACTCATGATTTAAGACTTAGGATACTTGTGATATAAAAATTCCTAAGTAATGTTTAATTATCTTTATTAGATAACAATTTGTACTCGACTTTGTAAGGGATCAAACGATATTAAATACCAGACACACACTAGTTAAAAAAAATTAGATCATGTAAAGTGAATTCTAAATATAAATATTTGTTGACATTAAATTACACAATTCATTTATTTCTTACGTTCTAAAAATATTTCATTGCAGAGATAATAAACTTTAACTTATTTTAGCATTAATACAAATATAATATCCACATCTATATGAATTAGCCATATAAGCTTATTCTAAAAATAACTAATCTCATACATGCTATTGGTTTAAATTTACAAATATAATATCCACCATCTCCCTAGATCGAATGAGAGAATCTTTATATAGTGATTGACTATTGGTTTAAATATCTTTTAGTCTCTACAAATATATAGTACATTTTATTTTACATCTCTTCAAAACTAACTTTTTATTTTTCCTCCCTACAATTTATGTTGATTTTCTTTTTAATTCATCATTGATGATAACAATCCTTGTTTGACCTCAAAATAATCCGATTAATAGATTTTCTCTAATTCTTTGTCATTTTGTTCAAAAAGTATTTAATCTTTTGGTTTACACGGTTTTAAACATTTTTTTTAAAATGTGAATACTTAGTTCACATTGTTTTAACTCTCATATTAGTCTCAAAGAAATATAAAAGGACAATAACTTTTAACTAACATTGTTTTAACTAACAATAACTTTTTTTGTAAGTAGGTAGTTTCGGAATTAGAGATTGACTAATAAAAACAAAATGCTACTTATTGCAGAGATGGAAACAAATATATATTTTGCAGAGACCCAAAACAAAAGTACGTGTGTCAGATTTGCATGGATTAAAAATGTATTTAAGCCTGGACTATGTTATACTATTTAGCCATCGAATGTAGAACAAACATGACACTATTGAGATCGAAGGATGAGTGACTCACCGGGCGTATTCAAGCTAGTTTGGGTAATGGGTGTTGTTGTAACGAGTGATTGAGTAGGGTCAATGTTGGTTATGAACCCAACCCCACTAAAATCGCAGCTGTCAGGAAGAGTGCGATTGTTCTGATAATAAAGATTCATAGCATAGGAGGCATGGTGGATGAGGGTGTTGGGAATGAAGCAGACTCCACCAGACTGTATGGTTGCACAATCAACAGCAGTTCTATTCTTGTCACACACATAGTCTAAGGCTTTCTGCAAAGCTTCCTGGGAAGCATTTTCTCTAGCAATACACCAGTTGGTGCTTAGAGTGGGGGACGATGACGGCGGAATCGTGGAGGTTGTCGGAGGATTCGATGCTTTAGTAGTAGAAGAAGGCGTAAAAATGTTCCCCTCTGCATTCAATTTGAAACATATAGCAAGAAACTAAAAACTGTCCCAAAGATGCTAGACTAACACATGCATGGTGAAAGTGCAAAAATAGGGCCATGACATTTTCATGTCATCTAGTAGCACTAAAAGTGGGGGTGAATACACGCCGAGCCAAGATACTAGGCAAATTATATCGTGCAACCGGCGCACCATAAGGATGGTGCGCCCGGTTGCAAAACGACGCAGCATCTCTGTTTTTTTTTTGCTTTTGTTGTTAAAAAATGATGATAACTTTTTTATTTTTGATCCGATTTTTATAAAATTTATATCAACATTTTTTATTTTTCATGATCTTTCAAATGAGACCAATATTACTTATGTAATGTTAAGAAATTATCGAACTATTATATTAATGAGTATTGGATTATAAGGAAAATCGAATCTGTTTGGGAGATGATAGGTTTGTGAAATAGAAGATTGAATCTGCTTGGGAGTGGATCAGTGGCCTCAGTTACATTTGATAATACATTGAGTTACATCTTTTTATGAACGAGTTACATTTTTTATAAGCAAGTTACATCTTTTTATAAGCAAGTTACATCTTTTTATAAGCGAGTTACATATATATAAACACGAGTTGCATTTGACATGCCTGGACGCGACTTACATATATTTACACGTAAAGTTACATATTTTTACACGTAAAGTTACATATTTATACACGCGAGTTACATATTTATACACACGAGTTGCATTTGACCTGTCTGAACGCGAGTTACATATTTTTTACGTAAAGTTACATATTGTTACACGTAGAGATACATATTTATACACACGAGTTGCATTTGGCCTGACTGAACGTGAGTTACATATTTTAACACGTAAAGTTACATATTTTACATAGACAATATTGGTCTCGTACGGTATAGGCACTCAAGATACTACGCGTAATTAGGACGGTATAAAGAATATTTTTAGAAATAAAATTATATGGAATTTTACCTTAAAAATTAAAACATTTTCTAAACTTGAGATAGACCAAGACCTAGATTGGCCCTCCCTAGCTAGATCCGGCCATGGGAGTGAATGACAAAAATATCCAAACAAAAATGACATCATCTATGATGACATTATATTCTCATCTAAGTCAAATTACATATATTTTTAAAATTGCCATCACAAGCAAAAACAACATCATCTAGAGGAACATTTTATTGACATTAAACTCGCTAAAAGAAAAAAATTACTACATCCCTTTTAATTTAATCATCTTTGACTGAAAAATATTTCAATCAAAAATATTACTACATCCCTTTTAAACTAACTTTGACCGATAATATGTTTATATAGAGAAAGTATTAAAAATATGAAAATGATATGAAAATGTTATTTATTAAAAATACGGAGTATAATTATAAAAGTATAAAATTAATAAATTTTGCATAAATATATTAGTTTAATAATTGGTCAAAGTTTACCATCTTTGACTGAAAAAGTCAAAGATGTCTAAGTACATTGGGACGGAGGGAGTATATGATACCGTAGTAGTATTTTTGACAAAAATTATTTTGGTATCATTTTCAAATTATCAATACTTATGTGGATAAATATATAATTAGTCAAAATTAGACATCATTGACTTAAAAAGTCAAATTTGATTAAATACAAAGGCATGGATAGAATAGTAAAAATGTTCATCTTACTAGTAATAAAAATGTCATCTTGATTGTGAGTGTTCAAAAAATAACATCTTACAAAAGACAGCAAGTATAACATGTACAATTTTATAGTAAAAAAATTGAATATATACACAGCAAATTCTATGACACCCGCAAGATATCATGCGTTTTCCATAAGGACCGGTTGAAATATAACAATTTAATAACTCTAGTATATATAAAGCGTGAAATAATGTCTTAGATCAATAAAATGCATGATAGGTGCACCATACCCTCATTTTTTATGGAGAAATGTTATAGGTACCCAAAATGGGATACCTCATTCTTACCTCGACCTAATGTATGATCATAAATGGGGCAACACATTTAAGTGGTGTCCCACTTAAATGTGTTGCCCCATTTGTGTCACACATTAGACCGGGGTAAGAATGGGGTATCACGTTTTGGGGGTACCATTAGCATTTCTCTTTTTTATGAGTGCAATAAGATTCATCATATATTATACAAATGTGACGAACTTTGAAGGTGCATACTAGGATACCCCATGAAATGTAATATCCTTAGCATTTTGGGGTATCACATTTTGGGGTACCATTAACATTTCTCTTTTATTCATATTTTATCATTTATTGATGTATATGCACAAGGTACGCACGAGAACTTTAACGGTACCATAGAATTTGACAAATTTGAAGATGAAGATATCAGTTTTGAAACGGGAATACAATAAACATGCGTTGTGCAATTTTTGGTATAACGGAACAGTTTTCGCATGTTTTTAGTTGATTGTTTTGAGTCCTAAACTAGACCAGATTTAAACAGATATGACCACTTAAACAGACCAGATCAGACCAGACTTGACTTCCATAGTTATAAAATACACAGTGTTCAGATGTTTATCAGATCAGACCAAACCAAACAAGACTGAAACGGACCAGACTAGCAAATTACAGTCCAAGTAAAAAAATTCTTATATCAAATTGGGTCCGATTGCCCGATCAGTGAAGTCCAAAATGTGGCCGGGTCATGGCATCTTGACATTAAAGTTTTGTTAACCACTAGGCCTATATATGTTTGTCAATATAACTAGCCATTAACATTTAAGAATGGGATATTTTGAGTTTGCACCCCACTTTATTGTTGAAATTAGATTTTGCACCCCATTTTTGAAATCTTTAGTATTTGCACCCCAACCCCTTATGAGAAGACTAAAATGCCCCTCAGTTAACGATTTTGTTGTCCTTCAACATATTTCTGATCGAGGGGCATTCTTGTCTTTTCATACGGGGTTAGGGTGCAAATACTAAGGATTTCAAAAACGGGGTGCAAAGTCAAATTTCGACAATAAAATGGGGTGCAAACTCAAATTATCCCTTCAAGAATATGATAACTTAAAGCATATCATCACCTTAAATCTATCTATATACGGATCACATTATTATGATACTGTATTACTGTATATGAAATGAAATCCTCCACTCAATACAGACAAAAAAAGTAGGGACAATCACCTGGACATATTAACAGAGAGATGAACTGGAGGAAGATGAGGAGACTCCATTTACTCATTCTGAACATTTCTTCTTCTTCAACTCTGGGTGGGTGCGTTTCAGCTTAATTAATTTCCACAGACGACAGATAATTATGTTCTTAAAATGTGTATATATATGGAATGATATGATGCTATTGCTACATATAGCTAGCTAGCGTGTATACAATTCTTGGCAAGTGATCGAGAAGTCGTTTCTCTTTTTTCTTTTGGAGTATCTTTTGAAAGAGTGATAACTTTAGACATGGCGTGAAGGGGCAGCTGCCAGGTGAAATTCAAAAAGGAAGACATAAATGTGAAAGCACAAAATCAACAAGAGATCTAGGTGGGTAGTCCTGTCTTTTGACTTATCAGATTTGACTTTTTCCCGTCAAAGTATTATTCTTAATAATCGATCAAGTGATGATAATCTTTATTAAGCATCCAATTAAACCTTACATAATCTAAAGAATCGGGATGCCCTTAGACTTCAAACCATATTGATATACTCCCTTCGTATTTTAATGTTTGCTACACTTTCTTTTTTAGATGTATTTAAAAAAATTCTACATTTCCCTCTTTGGTAAGTTTTCTCTATAAAAATAGTCAATTATCCTTCCTACTTTTTATCTTTCTTCCATACTTTTCCACCATTTCTCCAACTGTACGTTTTCTACATTATGCATTACTCCTACTATTTTCAACCTTAAATATTATGTTCAAACCTAGACACCTAGTGTAGTGAACATTAAAATACGGAGTAGATGACTTGTTAGCCTGGTTTATTTCTCGTGCATTCCACTAATTAAATAAACAAATGACACTGTTGAGGATCCCAATAGATAAAAGCCTATTTGATGACTCTGCTTTTCAACTTTTTAACCAAACACGTAACTTTTTATTTTCCACGCCGAATAGTGTAATAATAAGAAAAGATAAGGTTTGAGTTACTTTTCCGGCTGTATTGGTTGAAATTACCGTAGATGACTATTTTGCTATTTTTCATATAACTTTTTCTTTATTTTATTAATAAAATGTATTTTAAATATAACTTTTTCATAAATCACCAGAATCAGCCAATTGAGTAACTTTACCAAATAGGCTTGCAAAAACGAAATTGTTCGCCTAGTTAATCCGATTGGGATGCCCTAGCTACATCTGACATGTGAGTCTTAAAGCAAAACATGAAGCTCAAGGGATGTAGTAATTAACTCCCACAAAACAAAAGGGAGTTAATCTATTACGGATGGGACGGTTAATTGGGAGGAACATGTCACTACTTAAAACATGTGCACTTGATAAGTTTATCGAATTAATTCAATTGTTTTTAGTTGGATGTTACGTTTTCTGACCCAGATCAGACCAGACTTAAAAAGATCAGAACTGGCCATGTCAGACTAAAACAGATCGGACCAGATCATGTCAGGCCAGACTTCCGTAATTATGAAATACAAAGAGAAGACACTTAGAGTATCTTTAGTGGCAATGTGGATTGGTTAAAAATGCATTGAGATGAAAATACTCTCTCCAATGGGAATGCCTATTTTCTTAATGATGCTGAGTTGGAAATGTAAAAAATTGACACCATGCGGTACGTCCTCTATTTTGAGAAGGCCCGTTAAACTATGTGACTCAGCAAATACTCCGTAGAATTCTCTACTGAAACCGCCAGCAGTAATTAAAGGCTATAATCAATAACGCACTCTGTAAAAAATATCATAGCATCATTCTTGTGTTTGGTATAAATAATTAAAATAAATCATTTACATCCTCACTTCCACTTTCATAATTCCTCTAAAATACAAACGTGGCAGCTAGATGTAAATTTTTAACTGAGCAGATGTACAACTATTTTGCGGCAGACATAAATTCATATACGTAGTATTTGGTTTTTGAAGAAAGTTAAAAGAGGAGTTTTAAGAGTTTTGCAGTACAAATAAAATCATGCACTCCGATCAGTATATATTTGTTTTTTAGAGAAAGCTAGAAGAAGAGTTGCACTACATAACAAAGTGCAGTTGTTTTTTAGTCGTGCACTTTGGGCATTAATAGGTAACTAATTCTTAAAACTCACATTCCCATTAGAGCACGAATATATTATTTTAAATGTGTGTCCATATCAGCTTCACATGCTTTTTATACATATGATGTGTCCATTTTTAATGGGGTGCAATCAACTTCCCCATTAAAGATGCTCTTACTAGATCAGTTCAGTCCAGACTAAACCAGACTTAAATAGATCAGATCAGACCGACAAATTCAAGTTCAAGTAAAACATTTTACTTTTCAAATTATGGGGATGCATATACGTATATGTTATGACAGTTTACTAATTTGTTTGGATAAATGTAGTAATGATGGAATTCTTTAATGGGCAATTCTTGATGTATACAAATTGTACATTATCCGTGCACATAGGCAATTGGGAGGATTTGACATCAAATTCTCCCTTTTCAAATGAGTGACCATGTACACAAATAATTGGGAGTATAAGGTTGTCCTCAATGCATAGGGGTGGAAACCCAAATTTGAGCTTTTCACCTTAAATTGATGTGCAACCCAAGTATACTTGGGTCTCACAGTGGGTTGGTAGAACCCTTGGGGTGGAAATTTGGATGCTTGATCCACTCTTGGAGAGAGAGAAAAAAAGATGCACTTGGTGTGCACACCAAAGAAAAAGAATTGGGCTCCATGAAAACTCAAAATCTGAAATTTCTCTAAAATGATACTCTTATTCCTAAATAAACTTCCAACTTTCCTTTTTCTTCCATTCCAATTAAAACTTCCACTTTACCTTTTTGGTAAAGAATTTGTGGTTCACAACATTTCTTACACATTTCTCTCTCCTCTACACAACTCTACATCACACAATATCCACTATCTTAAACTTTGTGTGAAACCCATTTGGAAGTTAAAATGGGAATGGAGGTAGTATAACTTTTTTATTAAAGATCAAATTTTTATAAAAAATATACTACGGTATCAAAATTCATAACTTTTTATAATCTTTCATATGACACCAGTCATGGATATATACAGTTACAAAAATTAGTTTTATATTTTAACATTAAAAAAATTAGTCAAAAAAATTCACTCCAAATTTGTTTATTTTTACATCGAAATGTATGATATATTAAATCATAATTATTTGTAAAAATAGAATTTGCGAAAAAAAATATGTATAATAATAAAAGTAAGGATTTTACTAAAAAAGAATGTGTTGAGTGAATATATTGACGGTGTTGAATTGAAAAGAAAAACAAGATTAACTGAGTGAATACCTGTAAACTGGTGTTAGATTAGATTTATTGACGTGGATTCTACTACTATTCTGCTGAGGCTTCTATTCATGTTAGCCTTAACAGTAGACAGCACCCTAGAATGGATCAATATACTGTTCTGTAACGGCAATCAATGGTTGTACTACTACTATTCATGTTATTTACGGATTTACCAATGATAAGACTGGAATCTTAAGGTTGAATGTTACCCAGGTGTTAACTCATGGACCTACTTGTAAATTGTGCAGCCAAATGCACCTTTCGTATTAAAAACAAAAACAAAAAGACAAATAGATAAGCTAGGATATACGGAGTATATATATAGTTGAATATTGACTCAAATTATACTCCGTCGATTATACTCCGTATGACTCAAATTAAGTATCCTCCATTCTTTAATTTTTACGACAGTTTTACTTTTACGTTTGTAAACGCACAATTTTGACCGTACTTATATTTAATTATGTATTCTGTATTAGTAAACTTTATAAAAAATTGATATTTTGGAAATTCACATTTATAGGAATTTAATAACATTTTATACGTGTTAATTTGATTATGTATATTAATAGAAAATCATGGTCAAAATAATGTCTGTAAATAATACAAAAATCACAATGTTGCAAGAATTAAAGAACGACTATGGATGAACTCATTTTCAATTTATGGCTTTATGTATGTTTTCCATTCTTATTCATGCCACCCGGCCCAGCCCCTAGCTTTTTCCTCCTTTCTTTGAAAACCAAAGCTAGCTTTTTCCTTTACTTTTTAAAAAGGAGACACACACACATATATATATATAACTTACCAGATACATGAAATTTAATTCATTTCCGAATAAGTTATTGTTTACTTTGTTACAAAACCGTTGAACACAAACAAACAATTGTATTTTAAGTATAAAGAGTCATTTATTCGGCCTATTTGCTCAGTTTTACCACGCAGGGTCCACGCGTGTTATTTTTGAGGTTTTGGCTTATCAGCCATTTTTGGCCATGTTTGGTAAATGGCTTATCAACCATTTTTTAGCTGGTTTGACTAAGTTTAGCTTCTTTGCTTGGTTGACCAGTTATTTAGAACCCATTTGGCAGCACGAAAATCGGTTGTTTTGGCTGATTCTGCTGAAATTTATGAAGTTCTGGTTGAAGTGGCTGCATTGGCTGATTCTGCTGATACAAGAAAAAAATATTTTTAAAATATATTTTATTAATAGAATAAAGAAAAAATTATATGTAAAAATAGCTAAAATGGTCATCTACAGTAACTTCAGCCAATACAGCCAGAAAAGTAACTTCAACCTTACTTTTTCGGCTTATTACATAATTCAGCGCGCGAAAGCAAAATTTACGTGTTTGATAAAAAAAGTTGGCTGATAAGCCTGATAAGCCGAAAATGAGGGTTGCCAAACGGCCTCTTAATATGTTTGGTAAATAGCTTTTTGAATTAGATTGTTCATTCCAAGAAGTCAAAATTTTAGCTGGTTGGAAAAGCCACATGTTGCAGCGTTTCATCTTGGCTGCTTCATAATTTATTGTTTTTTTACTAAATACTCCTTCTAATATATACGTAGTACTTCTTATATGCATAGCAGTTCCCTAAATCCTAATGATTGAATGAATTATGTAACGTGTTCTCTTTTTAGTGCTTTAAATGTTAACGTTTTTATATATCTTATTATTTTACTCTATACTTCTAAAATTAATAAATGTGAATCAGTAAAACAATTGTTTACAAAAAATAAACATATTAAGTTTACCAAAGTTAGAATAAATAAATAATTAATACTACCTCTTACCAATAATAAAGAGTTGAAAAGTTCTACTTTATTCAAAGCATCAATTTTACTTTAACCAAAGTTAAAAAACTTATACTTAAAGGGCTGTTTTTTAAAATTAAAGCATGGAGTATATAATAATAATAATAATAATAATAATAATAATAATAATAATAATAATAATAATAATAAACATAATACGGAGTAATAATTAGT